GTCACAGTGGCTCACGGTGTGAGCGAAGGCCAGGACGTGAACACTGTTTATGTAGTGGTCAATACCAAAGATTAAGTACTCCTTAACCTGGTAACTTTTACTTCAGATTGTTTTCTAAACATGCCTTTTCATGTCATCTGCAAATGTGAAGTATTCTTCAAAGAAAGGGTTTATCCACTGGGTGCTTTGGTATTTCCCCCACCCCAGACATCACTGACTTAGTGTTTTCACCCATATAAGGGTAGACTTTATCACCCCAGCATCTTTATGACCCAGAGAGACTGAAACATTAGTATGATTTTTCTAAGGATCCAGAAAATGTTATGTCTCACCAAGAATTAATATATCTTTTATCACAAAGAGAGTTTGGAAAAGGGATAAAATGCCATTCATATACTCATAAGTAATTAATTGAGGGCCTCCTACGTAGGCACTCCACCAGGTGTTATGAGGGACAGAGGTGGCTCCAAAGACAAACCAGATACGGACCCTGAACTTAAGGAGTTCACAGGGTGCCTAGGGTGACAAAATGTAGACATGTACATAATTACAGGACAGGATACTTGGATATGGTACAGGATTATGAGTCATACTGTAAGTGAGGTACATGAAAGACTCCTAACAAATTTCACAGGAGGAAGTGACTAACATTTATGCATCAGGAATTTCATTCATTACTTCATTTTGAATCCCAAAGCCCCAGCAGAAATCTTTTTGTGGGAAACCATCTGAGTGTAATAAAAAAATTGCTATCAAGGAATCCATAATAGAAAGTATTCAAAGTGTGGTAGCTCTTTGGTACCCAAGAGGCCACCAAGATTCAAAAATACCCAGGGCTACCCAGAATCCTGAAGATGATATCTTCCAGATAGGGCTGTCAGGCCTCCTGGGTTGTAATCATCATGGATTTATGGGGCACTGGCACCTTAAAAACATGCTTCCATCCATGATCTGATAATTAGGATCCCTGAGGACAGCCTGGCACCATGCAAAAGGCAACCAACCGGGACACCAGGGTTCTAATTCTGCTCAGCTCGCTCTGATGTAAAACAAGGGATTTGGTCATTAGACTCTCTCCAGAGTTCCTCAGGTGGCTAGGTGGGTGGGGCAGATTTTATTATCACCACTTTACAGATAGGGAAACTAAGGTCAGGAACACCTAAGGGGCTTGCCGAAGGTCACAGAAAATACCTGATATCCAATACCTGAGATTGGAACCTGGCCTGTAAGGGCAAAACATCTTCTACTGTATTATACTCAGAACCACACCTAATGTTTGTGGGCAAGAGGACAAATAGAGGCCTACACAGCATTCACCTAAGTATTTCAGTTATAAATCAAGATAGCACGCTGTTAAAATATGGTCTGTCCTCCCACCTTGACAAATACTTCTTTGCAAGGACCTGGATGGTCAAGTGTGAATCACGAATTCTCGGACTCTTCCAAGGTCCAGGCTGGAAGCCGATAGGGAAGGGAAAGCGGACTCCAAGGGACCCCTCTTCCTGCGCGTAGGATGAGCCCAAAGTGCCTAGGAGGACACCTTTCAGCCCTGAGGTCCAAGCACCATCCACACTCCAAGAAAAACCCATTCCTGCACTCAGGAGTGAGTTTAGAGGTCCAAGCAGATCTTGAAAGAGGGTTCGGTACAGGCAGGGGATTCCAGAATGCTGACTGGGGCATGGTCTCGAGGTTCAAGCTCCCTGATCCTGTGGGAAGGGGCACTGTCAGAAGAGAGCCCGAGGGTGGCCGTGGGCAGAGGCCCCTCTCGCTTAGGTTTAAGAGCCAGTGTGATCACACTACCTCAGGATTCAACCTATGACAGAGTAAAATCTGCGAACCTGCTGGTGAGAAGGTAGTATTGCCTGATGGTTACAAGACCAGATTCTGCAGCGAAACGCCTGGGTTGGGATCCTAGCGTGGACACTCACTAGCTGTGTAGTATCAGGCCAGTTACCCAACATCTTAAGGCCTCCGTTCCCTCATCCTCAAAATAGGTATAATTATTTTTATGAGGAGTAAATAAGATAGCTTATGTAAAACGCCTGGCAGACATTAAACGCTGGGTAAAGGTGAGGCTCTCTCCAGCTGTATTAGGTGAATTTGCCTTGAAAGGTTTCTGGAGAATTATATTAGCATAACTAAAGCCAAGCACTCTGATAGCCCCTCTCTACACTAAATAGGGGGGCCAGGCGCAGAGATGGGCTCCACCCACCCTACCCAAGGCGTTGGCTGCTGCCTGAGACCTGCCGGGTCCCTTGGCCGGGACTTCACGCTGCAGCCGTGCACTCTGCGAGCTACGGCTGGGGGGTCGTAAAAGGTTAACTCGCAAACGTCGCCGTGAGTCACCGCGGGACTAGGGAACTGAAACCAAGAGTTAGCACACGGCTTGGTTTATCCCTCCGATGCGGACGGTTAAACCAGTGGGAAGTGGCATCGAATAAAAAAGGCAGGATACGGAGCCAGGGTTGACGCAGCTTGGTCCCCTCCCACCCTTTCGCCCTGGGGCTCATGCTAACATCGCTCAGTCTCTTGACAGGTCTTGACATCTCTCCTCCGCGAGAAGGGAGGGAGACTCGAGCAAGTCGAGGCATCTCTCTGGTACCTCCCGTGAGTGTGAGCCGAGCCCAGTCTAACGAATGCCCGCCCCAGAGCAAAGACGTTTTTCTAAAGGCAAGCCTGGGCATTCCCCCACCCCCATCCCCGGGTGAGATGAATTCAGAGTGGCCCACTTCCACATCCTAGCCCCTCCTCTTCCCTGCAAAAAAGAAAAGAAAAAACTTGGAAACTTTGCTGTTTCTTGAGGACCAAGAACTGTAACCAGCTCCCTTTAACGGACAGTCGTGACTAGGCACTAAGAAGTCAGACTCTCTCGAAAATACCAACAAAGGACTATATTTAGCTCCGAGCTCTCCGCCTAAATTCCTCTTGTTTTTTCACTCTTAGCTTCAAAACGACTAGGTTGGGGAAGTGGGAGGAAGGGGGCGGGGGAGTAGCAGAGAAAGAACAGCTGTGCCTCCGCCTCTCAACTCAATCTCTATAAATAACCAATCACCAGCGGAGGCTACTTTTTAGCCAATGAAGCAGCCCAAACTGAAAAAACCTTGGCAGTAACCAATGGGAGAACATTCGAGGGTGTGAGATTTGCGCCCCGGGACCAATGGGTCCTGAGCTTGGGAGAGGTAATTTGAGCTGGAGTGTGGGTGTGCGGTGCACAGGCTTCCTACTTTCAAGCCCCAAAACCTGCTCAGCCCACTGAGCATGCCCCGACTAGTTGCAGGCGCCGCCGCCACTTCTGGGTCAGGACGCGATCTGCTCTCCGGGTTTTGGCCCTAGCCAAGTGGGTAGGTGGGTGGGGTCCGCCGAGCCCTAGCCGGGAGAGGGCTCCGGTCGCTGGAGACTACCCCTTCCCTCGTGGGGACAGGGTTTCAGGCCCAGTGTTCCTGTTTTCTTTGTCTGGGGATGAAGTGTGGAAAGAGTCAGACAGAGAAGGCTGGTAGAAAGAGCTGTGCCTTGGGTGGGGGAAGGTGCTCCGCCCTCCAGTCATTCACCCAAAATTCCTTTGGAGACGGCCCGAGGACGCACAACCACCAGAAGCTCAGGGAGTGGAGTTCACGGGCTTTGGATAATGGGGGGAGCAAGAGCCCAGCCCACTCCACTCCCGGGGTGGCCCGCTGCGCCCACCCTATTCTCGCGGAGCCGGAGCCCCTATGCACGAACCCCAGAGCCTCGAAAGAAGGCGGCCTCCATCCTCCCACTGGAGCTCTCCCAGCCGATCTGAAACGCCTACTGACCCCAACACTTCTCATCCAGCTCCTAGACTCGCGCCTCTCCGGAATCCGCTAGTCCGGACTCAAATCGCGAGCTCCACCCCTAGTCCCGCCCCCGCCCGGCCCCCCGGAAAACCAGGAGTAGGGGATCCGGCTGGC